TTTTTTTACTACTTATTTGTTTAATTTCATTATGACGACCCTTATTTTAATTTATAAACGACAGTGGTTTGATTGCCTAAAAGTTTTGTACAAATACTAATTGTTGAATAAACCATAACATATTTTTTAAATTAATAATAAGCATTTAATGTTCAGACAAGTGGAATAAAATTGCAAGAATAATCCAACAAAYTCACCTGATCTTCGTGTTCTATAATAGCCCTATAACCTATGTCCAATATTTAWATACCGATTAAATACAAAAAAATTTTCAGATGCTGCGGATACTGATGGGACCATGTCTGTCGAGTTTTTTAATTACGCTATGGCCTTGTTCATATATTGCGGGCGGTATGCGTCTGTTTTTTGGGAGACTAATAAATGTTTCGCTACGCTATTTTCCGTCCAGTTATTCGCCAACGCCATACAATGCCTGTCATTGTACCTCTTCACATGCATTCTCTACAAGGTGAGAAAATATTAATTGCATTCAGTTATCGCCATTTCAATATATATGTATATATAATTGAATTTAAAATGAATATCATAAAAATTGGTTGATTCCAGTACATAAAAATGATATGTATAAATAAAATAATGGTTCCGGTCAGTGTCTGATTTCAAAATATTTCAAACGTTTCCTTCAAATTCCTTTTGAAAGGCTGTACTACTGATACCAGACATTCCGAATTTCAACTCTAGACTCTAGGATCTTTTTCTTAACCCATTTGTTATARCTAATTTGCAACCACGATTTCGGAGTTTTTAATCTAACCCGCGCAACTATGTGGTCACGTCAAAGTCGGCCTTGAATTACTTACTGAGAATTGTTACTGACTTTAAAACAAAAGTTTTCACCATCCAAAGTCGGGGATAATGTACCAGYAAGGATTCCAGCTAATGCTTGTMGAAGCTCCACGTTTCCAAAAATATTTTGGTATAAACAACAACACATTCGCACATATAACACATACACGCTGCGTAGTTGTTAGAAGTTCCATTTTTTTTTCACGCGCTGTACGGRAAAAAACATTTACTGTAAATGTTYGCTGTGCTGAAAAATGTAATTTCTCTAACACTTCATCCGACATCGACCGTTAAACTTTCGGCGCGGGCTGGRCGATAAAATCGTTAAAAAAATCATCATGAATTAATTATTTATATTATTATATAATTATTAACACRATTCTTGTTGCATTATACGTTGTCGTGCCTCAGATGCAAGTGTTGGGCGTGTGCAAAATGGTGAAGGAACTACCGGCCGGACCTACCACGTACCACCTGGTGCTGGATCACCTGGACACCGCAGTGCTGTTCACCGTCACCACCGTTCTGATATTCGTGTCCAACTCGATAGTGTACTACTACGGGTACACGCGATTCAGCGGGTTCGTGAAGCGGCAGACGGGTGGCCGGAAGACCGTGGCCGACGCCTACTCGAGCCTGATGCCGTACTGCGCCAGCGTGCTGGCCCTGCTCGCCGTCGTGGCGTCCGAGAGCCCGTTGCTGTACAACGCCATCGTCGTGTTCCGATCGTCGCTCAACGGCGTGGTGTTGGCGTGCCTGCTGAACTCCACCGCGCACGTGTTCGTCTGGATAGCCATGTGGTCCGTGCTCACGCTCAAGCCCTGCTGGGTGTTCAACCTGCACCTGTTCCTGGAGTACGACCCCAGGGGAGGCGGCTGCGGTGGAGCTGTTGGCGGTGCAGGCGGTGCAGTGAGTGGAGGCGGTGGAGGCGGCGGAGGTGACGACGCCCAGCGCGTGCCCTTGTTGGTGGTGGCCCAGGGCGCCACGTACTCGCTGACTGAGAAGACGGCCAAACGCATCGTCACGTCTGTGGTGGAACGCGTTGTCGCCGACTACACACGCGTCTCTGCRAACTCGGGTAAGCCCATACAACTACTGAAATGTTATTATTGTCTCTCCTCTAAAATACTAACTGCAATTCAACGAAAATAATTTATTCGAATTACGTTAAGAGGATACAAAACCAATAAATTTGAAAAACGGTTAACAAATCACAATTTTTTTTTTTTTATTTTAAAATAGAATATTTACAACCTGTAATATGAGTACAATAAAAAAGTTTAAAGAAGATTAAATAATTACGTATTAAACTTCGATCTAGTTATAACTTTGAACCCACATATTTTGTTAAATTAATAAATTATTAAATGTTATGAAAGTACATCATATCGTAATAACTAATATGTAATATTATAATAACATATGCACTTTTATAAACATTATATGATTTTATAAATTATGTCATATGATGCATATATTAAATTTAATAATTTAATAACGTGCAGAGAGTTTATACAAAATCTGGAAAATCTGTGTATTTAGCCAAGTATATGTTTAACACAATACGGCCGATTGAAATGTTTTAACACTGTTATCAAATATTATACTAATCTTATTTCAGAYAAACACAAGTTCAAAAGAACGCCTAAGACAATGAGTGATGAACAAATATATTGGCCAAGACCAAAGTCGAGTTCAGGCCGCAGTTGTTTAAGCGAAATGGAAGACTCGGACGAGCCGTCTGGTTGTTTTGGTTGTAAACGGACAAAAAAATCTACAAAGTAAGTATTAGAGGTGCACTCTGTCTCAATTTACTTAAAACAATTAGGTGATTAAAAATATCTTTTCGTTCAAATTTTAAAACAGTATTGATTATCATTGCACGTTTGTTCCTCCTTAAACTATTCAGAAAACAAATAAGAATAATTACAAAAAAACTTTCATAATTATCATAATTATAACTATACTGGTAAAATTATAACTGTTAACCTATTACTTATGGAATATGACATAAAAGATCATATTTATAATTTCCAAACGGTAGCCCACTGCGTATTGCATAATATACATTATCACAAAACATCAATTAAGAAATTTTGGTGTAACGAAACAGTCACTCATTTGTCAATTGTATTTAATGAGAAACGATAATGGTCCTCATATGAACGCACCTACGTATTAATTACAATGGTTTTTAACAATGAACGATGACGTACGAAAACAATGCCAAAAACAATTCGTCAAAGTGAATAATTGTCTTACGTAGACAAAAAAAAAAAAAATGTTCTAATCTTAATCATTTGATATCTACCATCTACGAGTTACGACGTGCCGCCTACGTTTTTCTTGGGATCCAGTTCTCGTTTTATTCAAGTTCATTGTAGATTAATAAAATTTTATTCTTTTACAGGGTTATTTTTTAATGACAAATTCTTATTATTTCAAGAAATATTAAATCCTTTAATTTTTTAAATACCAKCTATTACTTAAAATTACTATATTATGTTTGTTATATACAGTTCTAACGTCTTTATATTACATTATTTGATCACTTAAAATGTGATTATCGCGAATCGTGTCTTAATTGAAGGCCATCTGTATTTTTAGTTTTAAAGTCTAAAATCGCTTAATTTGTAAATATATTAACGCATGAATATCAAATAGCTAAATAATATTTTTARAGAGTTTGTGTGTGATAGAATCATAGTGCACAACTAGTTCACTCGTTTAAACTTTAAATGCTAATTAATAAAACTATATGTTCAATATTTGATATCTGTATACAGTTTGAAATATATTTTAAACACAAAAGTCGATAGTAATATGATTCCAAAAAACATCAAATGAATGAAAATAAAGGCAATACCTACACAAATAATACCTAAGAACTCCAAATCGTTGTTAAATTTGAATCGTTCAAAAATGAAAAAATTTTAAAAATTATTTACTTTCAGAAATAATTAATTTTAAGTATTATTGTTTTTAAAATAATAATTGTCTTAGGTCGATTTTGAAGCGCTGTTATATGCATGCAGTGTACAGTATAATGCATGTATACATACTGTGTTCGATCTAACTCGTTGTGTTGATTTTAATATATTGTATTATTTTTCATCATAGAGGCATACCAATGAACAAAATCGACCGAAGGGGAATCAGTCCAGAAGACGATGGTGATTATGCGAAGCTCCGCGAGTTGCCGATGGTCGCTAGGGCCACGAACGATCATAGCGACGACAATACGTCTGAGGACACGAAGGTAAGAACGGATTGGTCGTTCGTGATCGAAGCCGTTTCGCGCAGTACTGTGTTCGCGTGTACTAAACTACTCTATAGGGTATTTATTCGTAAATAATAATAATATTAATATAAATACGAATATAAATACTGTTCGACTTTTAAAATATGATAGCTACACTGATTACCGTGCATCCCTGCAGCAAATGCTTAAGAAAAGCAAAAAAAAAACAAATATGTGTCCTGGTTGTTCAATTTTAAACTTTTTGACATTATACCGACGTCGAAAACCGAAAATAAARTGTAAAGATCAAGTGTAGTTACTCAACAACTCAACATTTAGCAACAATATTAATTAGAATAAAAAGTTACTGACGTGGGCGAACACGCGATGAAACACCCCGTGTAGTAATATAATATATTGTTGTGCTCTAAAGTTTTTTTTTGTGTTGCATGTCTGAATATATATGTATAAATTTAATTTCCTTTATATTTCGCTTTCCATTTATATCAGACGAAGTTCCAAATTTATTTTGTGTAAGCGACAAGTTTCAAAACAAGATTAAATTTCCTATCTTTCGTCGATTGTGCGATAAAAAAATCAATAGCTTGCATAATTTTCCTTATTATATTATATTTTTTCCCATTATTTTCAGTGTTTTTAACGAGTTGTAGAAAARCGTAWTTTTAATTATATTCACTGCTATTACCTATATCAAATCCTAACAATTTGGTTTCTGCATATAATTTTTGAAGAACGATAAAAAATTATGATTATTTATCATTTCATTTGGTATAGATAATATTACGTTTTTAAAAATGTGTAAAATTCATTTTAAAATTTAACAAAAGCGTTTTCTTAAATTCTATTCATGTCACGATTTTCGAGACAGTTTGAGTTATTTGGTTTGGTTCAGGTTTAAATAAGAAATTCCATCTGGGTTTGTTATAACATTAAAATAGTTCATTTTAACCTCAAAAATCTAAATATCTTGTAGTAACTAGTACTACTCCAATATTATACAACCTTTGGGTCAAATCACAATTGTGTATTATACCTGATTTTCTCACACAGCTTTTGGACACGGTACGAGAAGGTGTAATTACGTACGCGAGCGCCAATACAAGAGAGTTGTTTTACTCGCCGGCCACGCCGCCACCACCGCCGCCACCCATACAGGAAGACATAAGTTCAGCTGCGGAATTCCACGCCAGTAAAACCCAAGTGAGTACATATAATAATATAGTTCTCCATTTTCAATGATACAATAAGAACAAACRGTCGAATCTGGTGTTGAGTAGAATTATTTATCTTAGTACCTGATACAATCAAGTAAAACGTCTGACAAACTAATGAATAACTTAAAGTTCAGTTAAGTTAAAAAAAAATATATATATATATATATATAACGAAAATTAAACAAATTAAAAGTTGACAGTTATAACTATTTATAATTACATTTTAAAATAACTTTACTAATTAAAAGCAAAAGTATCTTACTAACTTAAACTAACCGTTTTTTCAAACGRTTTTGCATGTTAAACTTCTGTCAGGAGTGAGGGCAGCGTCAACATAAATAAGTAGTAAGAATATATACCTACAAGGTTCATAAGACTTTCTGCTGTTTTTTTAAATTTAAAATTAACTCGTCATTATACTTATTAAACTAATGTGTTTGCAATTAATTTAAATTAGTAAAAATAAAAAAGTTGAAAAGAAAAGTGTTAAAAATCTATTAATATTATCTGTGTCTTACGATCTAATAAAATATAAYGAAATACAAACAATAAGGTAAAATATTACTTTAATTATACATTTTTACAATCACCTATAACTATAATGTACAATTATACGTTATAATTAAATTTAACTGATCCTACTATAGCCTTCCATGCGTTGATTCCCGTTTGTTTTCTCGTGTTTGTTTTTTTTTCATTTAGATAAATATTATTTAATCGAGACCATAACATTTTATCACTTTGGTCGATTTTATCATAGCTTATGGTTTATTTGTTTATGGAAATATTGGAAATTTAAAATGTGGACTGTTATTATACGCCACGTAAAAGCTAATACGGATTACAATAGCCATGGCGAAGCTGATGCATCTGCCTTATTATTGTTGTGCCCTTTAATGACAATCATAATATATTTTATAGTTATAAATTATTCGTTTAAAATGAATCGATTTAGTGCCTATTACGTAACTATACGGCATTAATTGCGCATTGATTTTCGAACCCCTCGTAATATTGTGAATATATTATAAAATAATCTTACTAAAATTTGATYATCACACGACGCGGAAAGAACACGTTAAAATTTGAACGTATCATTACTAATAATGCAACGTGTATTATGTTTCCACACACGTTTGAACGAGTTAATTGGAAAAAGAAAGAAGGTTTAATCTTTTAAAAAATACATATATACAATGTAGGAATGAAGTAATTTGTATTGTTTATCAATTAATAATTATATCATAATAACTTGTTCACATTACTGATAATTTCAATAGGTATTGTTTTTTACTCATTACTAATTAAAATATAGTAATTAGTAGCAATTCCATTTCTTGACCAGAGAAAATATTTAATTAAATGTATCAAGGGCTTGACTTTAGGGCACGATCTACCACCGAAGTAACACATTATATTATATTATACTGCACTCTATCGATATGGCCCCCCAGCACTCGTCTATATCTAGTCTGACATTTTACTATTTTAAATCATATAATGTGCATAATATAGTAAGCAGATTTTAACATTTATCGAGTAACTCAATTTACTATATTATCCGTTGTCCGGCTTAAGTCAGTCGGGTATAAGCTTATCATTTTATTCKTCAACACGGTATTGYGCGTGTGTATATACATATATATACATATACATGCGCATATTTCCTCGTACATATAATCCTCTGAAAACTTTCAGAAACTTGTCTCAGAAGTTTTGTGTCRATTCTACATATATATTCCAGAATTTTGCCATATACATATGATATATATATAYATACCGTGGCGTATAGTGATTCGACTGACTCACGAGTGGTGCCTCTATGAATTGATAAATATATTCTTCACTGGCAGACATTAGGTCATAAATGATATGGCAATAAATTATGACTCATAATATATATATATTWTTWTTTTTTTTAATTTAGAGATTTCTGCAGAGAACAATAATTACTGCAGGTCAAAAATTAATGCATTAATGTCATTAATAAATGTGCAGATCACGTGAACGATATAATATGAATTAATTGAATAGTAAAGTTGTGCAGGCATAGTGTGCCATAATGGGGGTGGAGTTGAATAAATGTTTTAAATAACATTTTTGACGAAAGRGCTTTCTCTCCAAAATCCAGTTAGGGTAGGTCAATGCGCCTTCATTTTTTATTTTATTAAATGTTAATTAGTAATTTTGTATGTTATTATGACAGTACGCAAGTATACAATAGTAATTATAAATGAACACAAAAATGAACGTTTACCACTATGAAGTGAGTGATTAAACTCATCGAATCGTTTCTCGCCCACTCATCGCAATACTATCTATACCTATTGTAAATAATCAATGATTGATAGGARAACTGTATAATAAACAAACAATACTATGGTGTTCAATATTAATTGGTTAACTACTGTAAAGGGGAGATAGAATATTGGCTTTAAAATAGACATACGTTTGGAAATGATTTTAGTTATAATATATCAATAGTATTTCAATATTTMAACGTATTTGAATAATATTTGGGACTCTAAAAATGAATAACATAGCTTACAGTAGGCCTTAAGAATACATTTTCGAATCGGATAAATAAATTTGCGCCGAMAACTAATCAAATAGTTACTAGTTTTTGTAATAATATTTATTTTTATGCTCTATATAGCATCTTTTGGTGGTGTGCGGATAATATAGTGCCTTTGCATTGGGTAGAATCATCTTTCCTTAGTTGTATATTGTRCTATCCACGCATATACATAATTTGGTGACAGGACGAGTTTAATTTTTATCGTCTCGAAAGTTGCCATTTTTTGTCATGCGTACATCCCTGCTGCTTTCGAACGCAAAAGGTTTGCTTAATTGAACGCCCACTTTCGTCCGCATTTCCTTCACGGAAAAGCCTTTAAATTTTGCTTGCGTGTACAAGGAAAACGACTATTAAAAAGTTCGAGTGACGTCATCCAGAATAAGCATATGATTCTGTACCGCAATCTCGGCGTTATTAAATAATYGCATACCCGACAACCTAAATTATAGATACATGAAGTCTTCTCGAATACTTAAAAAAAGTAGCTTCCGTATGAGTTATTTATGTAATAGTACCGTATGATAAAATATATATAATTATTATATATAAGTCACTGGGTAGTCAGTATTATCACAACAGTTGAAACATATATATAAATATTATATGTATTTTTTTTTTTTTTTTGATTAATTTATTATAAATTATACAAAGCTCAAAAGAACAAACTTACAATAATATAATATGATGAAACTATCTACATTTTGTAAGCAATAAGCATGTGATGATGTTAGAGAGTTACAAAATCTAGTACCTAATTAATATAATAATAATAATACATATAAATAAAAATAAAAAGCATCGTTTAAGTTTTAGCACATAACAAAATGAACCAATATACATAAATACTAGTGTTATGAAGTGTCTAACCACTTAACAATCGATTTTTGGAGATTTGACTTTTTGAGATTCCTAGAGTTAGCGTATATACTTATTTTAATAATGATTGGCAATGAGTTGAAATACGAAGGACCCAGATAATTAACAAATTTACAAATTTAAGTTCAAACATTTTTTAMTCTAAGTTATTTTTACATCATATACTCTATTTTCTCTTTTATCATAAATGTGAATTATACGTCTACCTGTAGGTTATAATTATTAGCTATATTTAGCTATTTTTTGTACAATTTCTCTGCTGGAAAAACATTAAATAGTTGACAATTTTCTATTGTTGATCCTTCTAGGCTTATCTTAYTAAGACAGATCGTAATTATTGATTTTTGCTGTATTATTGACAAACGAACTGAGTGAATGGAAAATCTTGGAGGAAGACAGATTCCTCTCCTGCTTTCCCAGAATAGATACTTATGCGTATATACTATATATGTATAATTCAATTGAGATCTTTTATTGTCAAAATATTACAGAAAAAACAGTTGACAAAAWAATGGTTRGGTTTGTCCACATTTTAAATTCATATGACATAAAAAAAAAAAAAATTATGAACAACATAATGTGTGTATGGTTGGGGTGTTAAGCTATGATATAATATAATATATAATATAACTGATCTTATTCGATACCAGTTAGTTATCATATAGCTACAGATATAATATAATAGTATTCAACCAGCATCAACCGTATAATGACTTAGTACTAATTACTATAGCTAGGTATCAAATAAAGTATATTCAGTTGGTTAGCCGAAGCTATACCCGCTCACCTAACACCAAAAACAAAAAAATGTTAAGAAAATTCAAAAATTATTTCTATGATGGTCATGAAGGTTACTGTAAATAATACAAAAAGTATTTGTATTGCCGTAAATGATCCGAAAACTAAAATAAGACTTAAACATCAGTACGCTGAACTTGTGGAAGATCTTATAGTTAAATAAACTYTGAGTAAATTTAAAATAAGCGTATTGCCCTCCCAAAGAAAAATCCTGTCTATTCTAATACCATATAATATAATATACACTCAATGGTAATACTATGAGCCGCGTACTTATGTGATTATAATTTAAGTTTTAACCATGTTAATTTGTTATAACTGTTTTCGTTGCAGGTGTCCAAGCAACATCAACAGGTGCGCGAACACGCGTACCGCGGTGGCGTGTACAGCAAGACAACAGTGGCCGGCCAGCAGGGACYACAGCGCGTGGCCGGTCCGGCATCGGTGACGGCCGCCGACGATTTCGAGGAGGAGGACACCGTAAAATCCGAGTCAGAGGCATCTGCGGCCGGCCACTCGCCGCAGGCCGCGTGCAGCGGACACAGCGAGTCGTCCAGCGGCGTGCACTCCAACAGCAGCCACGACACGGCGGCCACGATGCCGCTGCCACCGCCTCCACCGCCGCTGCAGTTGTCGCCGGCCGCGTCCACGTCCACGCTGTCCCCGACGGATGATGAACAGCGGCGCCGGGCCAGTTACGCAGACCTGCAGACCGTGGACACGGTGGTGATACGGCACAAGGGCGGCCCGGGGGCCAAGGCCCGGATGCCTCCAGACCCGTGCACTAGGCCCACGAACGTGTCGCTCAGCTCGTTCACGGAACCGCGGGGCGCCCGGAACCGGCCCGGGTCGGTGCCCGGCTGGAGGACGATGCCACATAACGTTGCACCGCCACCCCCTCCACAGACGACGGCCGGTCACCACGTCATGGCGGCGTCGCACTATCAACAGTACCAGCAGCAAAAGAACCATCATCAGCAGCAACAGAACCAGAACAACTACCAGCAGCACCAGCGGCAGTGGTCGTCATCGTACAACGGCGGCGGCGTCGGCGGCATTGGCAGTACCAAAGTGTCGGCCGTCCGGTCGAGAAACCACTCGACCATACCAACGCACCACAACGGCGTCAGGCTGTTCCAGCAGCATCAACAACAGTCGTACGGGCAATAATAATAATAATAGGCCGCGTGCCCAWTTCTTTATTTTGATATTATTATTGTAGAGGGAAAAATAAAAATAAGACGCCCCGTCGGATTGGGGGTGGGGTGTAGGAATGCGCCGCATCCAGCCGCTTTTTCGAAAAATGTTCGACAAAATACGAATTTCGAATTATAATATAAAGGTACTGAATTATCGGTCGTTTTCACTACTATATGACCACCTCTTATCCTACCTTTCCGCGTGGAACATTCAGCGCCAACCAACCCCCTCCTACCATTCCTGAATAATAAAAAAACGTTCTAGTCCCCTCCACTGCCCCGTTATCCATGTATTTTCATGCATGTATATAGTAGATGTGTTTAAACGACACTAGTTTCGGAATTATTACTATTATATATAATATTTAACTATAATATAAAAATTACGTATCATTATTCAATATTTACTACCTATCGAATATCACTTGTCAACTATTATTATTATATGTTATATACCTAAATTATTATACAATGACAAACGACACTATAAACTATATTTTAACACATAATTATGTACGTAAGACACGTACCTATAAAACAATACATATTATTTATGAATACCTCCAAACGACCCAAATGAATTTGTCGCGTTGAGCTTACCAAATATGTTTTTTTTTATTATTAATTATCACCCGATAGACTGAACGACATACTAGGTAATACGTAGGTGTAGATTAGAGTGAAATAAAGACTCCGTCCTTGTCGCCAAAGACAGTCACGAGCGAGCGCAGGGAAGCGGGACACAATTATATTTTATACACAACAAAGTCAATAAGCTTACGTTGTAACACTWTCGTATCATATTATAATAATATACTGTTATTGGTCATAATATATTATTGTACATCATAATATTATAATCGACTTTATTTTAATCAGATCGTTGTAGTTATTGTTCGTACATCGACTGCAATGGATACAATATGTCTGTATTCGATGTGAGAGACAATAATTACAGTGATATAATGTTGTAAGTTTAGATGTAAAAAAAAAAGACACTCCTTAGTAAGCACTTGGTTACCGAAATCCGAGGATTTGCCGACGATAAACGATTTCCGCCCAGGCTCGAATTTTGTCGGGATTTGTCGCAGGTTTTTCTGTATATGTGTAGGGTAAAAATCTCGTCCGTAATATCATTTTGATGTATCAATATCTATATTTATATGATTTGATTTTTTTTTTTTTACAAAATACGTTACCCAACCAATAATCGTAATTTCCATCGATCCGTTTTGTTTTCACGATTCCCTTTGACAGACTGTTGTTATCCTTGGTGCTATACGATACGTTTATGATTTTTTTTTTTTTAAAGTTTGGGCTTTTCTCCATTATTTTCATACAATCTTTTGTACTATACTTTCTGTTTGTTTAATTTTTTTTATGAATATTATTTTTTTTTTTTTATAATTATCAAATAACGTTTTATATAATATATATTATTATAATATAAGATATTTACATACCTTCATGTTCTTTTTATATACCTACAAATTAAGATTACGTGTGCGCATATTTATATAATATTATTTTAAGAGATATAAATATATATTTAACGACAGTATGTTTAGTCATATCAATTATAATAATATGTTTAGTGGTTATGTTATAGTATGTATTTTGTTCACCCATTCGTATGTACACTACCCGAAGAATTCAGTAGAGTCGTTCCCCTCGCCAGAATGTTATACATAGGTAGCATTAACGACAGATTAAAATCAATATGAACAATATATATATATATATATATATATATACATAATAATATTAAATAGTCTCCGTTGTATTTACAATATTATTATTGATACTTAGAAATTATGTTGTGTTTTATAATTTTAAATAAAGATCTCATTTGTAATTTGAACCAAAATCACCGAACTCCTATATTGTARCCTAATACCATCATATTCATTTTTATCCTGACCATAAATATTTGCTAAATAATTGTATTATATAGGCAAAACTCTACCATAGTTCGTACCTATCCATTTAAATTCACTAAATACGCTTTCTTGTTTTTTAGACATAATAATAATAAATAATGTGCGTACAGCATATTGGTCATGTGTGAATTAAGCCACGCACTAAGATCCAGATTGAAAATATCATCCATGCACCTAATTCGTGAATAAAGAGGGAATAGGTACATCAGTCCGGATTAGCGATTTTGTATTGGTACAACTCAGACCGATTTCTCGAATGGATTKATTTGTTGTATGAATTATTTCACCCAGAAGCTGAAAAATATTTGTTCAAATCATCTGATTTGTGTTATTAGATAATAGCTAGGTGGATTTTGAATTATATTTTTTCTAACGTTTAAGAGACATTGAATTCTTAGAGTTTACAGTGGTGCATTTTTTGTCTCCATCTTACAAGTGTGTAACATAGCAAAGCGAAATCAACAAGTTTTGTGTATATAATGTATCATAAATCAAAAATTTTCATAACTCGCTCAAAAAATTAATTATTGTAAAAAACAAAAAACCATAAACGAACACAGAAAAAGTTTTTAACATTAAGTTTTATAACAAGTTCATTCACTCTACAATATAACTAACGAAGCTAATCGAAGCAAATTGACTATGTTACACACTTGCAACACCGATACAACAAATGACCGTGAAGAGTCAAATTCAAACAAACTGAAAATTAAATCGATCTATAAACGAAAGCAAGCACTTTTTTCGCGTTAATTTAATGAATCAAATTGTTCTAATAAATTAAATAAATACAGATTTTACATTGAAAGATGACAAATAATTAACCTAGCGTGGACAAAGGATATTATACAACTTAGTACCGATATTAGTTACCGATATTATTCTGTGCTGTTTTCTAATTGAATTATTAACTACCAATAGTTATCTATTATCATATTATATAAAGGTGACTTAGTGTGGCACGTTTGCTGTAATCAGTCACGCAACGTGGTTGAGAGTACACAACGTTCGCTGTCACTAGTTCCCGGATGGGCAACATCCAGGGTTCTTAGTGGCAAAAACCTTGTCACATATACTCGTATTGCTAAATGACTTCCAGTGTCAAAAGTAGTGGAATTTAAAGATATGTAACTCGTACATAGTCACCCACTGYTGTATAAGTCGTGCATCGGTTGCCGTCGCAGAAATTTAAATAATACAATATTTTTATTACTATTGTAGCACGTACAATATTGATGTAGATACCTATAGAATAATAATATAKAATATTATAACAACGGTACCTAGTCGATTTTCATCATAGATAATAAAAACATTGATGAAACATAACAAATTGAGCCTAATATATTTTTTCGACCGTGAAGTGGTAATAAATTGAGGGCTCTGCTTACATTTTTGTATAATAATATGATGGTCATAGTCGATAGTCGATTTAGATATTATACTCTTATCAGGCATCAATTGAAATTTCATACCTGATAAGATGTAATGTCCTATCCGTGTATTTATAATTTCATTATTTTCGTAATATCATAGATACCATTACATCATTTGCAACTGTCATTCGATATTATACTATGTGTGTGAAATTATTATTCATACTTTTTAGGAATGACGTTTAAGCTATCTTCAAAAACAGTAATTTCTTAATGTTCACGCGTGGACGACTCAAAACCACATATGTCTATTTATTTACATAAAGGATTTAAATTGCAAGTGGATTTAGATCAATTTTATCCATGTTGTTCGTCAAATGGTTTGAATTTTAATGCAGAAAATTGCTCACAAAGTTTTCGTTTTCGCRACGAAAATAATATTCATATTTCCATTATAAAATTAAAAAATTCAGAATTAATGATTGTAACCCAGATAAGAGATCTAGGCACCAAGTCTACTATCAAATTATTCATCGTTTGATAATCACATAACTATGATATGTAACATTGCTCTTCGAAAAATCGGTTGTATAAGATGTAATTGTTCAGAATTTAAAAATCATAATTGATTTAAAATATTTTATTCCACTCTAGTCCGTTTCATACTATTGATTATATGAAAGTCTCGTCAAGCGGGATTAATAATAAAACTGAACGTGTTCAAAATTGATTTTTAAGAGTATTTAAGTTCCACTTTARCAACTTGTGAGAGAGTATATCATCGAATAATAGGAAAAAAGAAGAAAATTACAGTATGATGTGACTTGGTTATACAAATTAGTAAATTACTTAATTTTTTAACTATATTATGTCTTGAATTACTTACCCAAATTTCATTCAACGCACCTCAAACTATTAACTATTAACTCTTCGATATAATAATATGAAAACGCAAATTTTTGTAAATACTTAAAACAATTTTTATTATTTTTTAAATAAAAATCTTTGATAGAAGACAAATCACGCATCTCTGGATACCCTTTTAGACATAATTGAATAAAAACTTATGATTTTCCGACTTATTGAGTACATGAATATATTACCATAAAAATTTTGAACATTTACTATATGATCCTAGACCTTTGTTTTCTAGGTTTCTTTTTCGATATTTTACAAATACCACGATATTGTTGAAAAATGTAAGTACTTTTCTTTTTCTTGGTATTTATTTTTATATTTTAAGCTTTGTTCTAAAAAAAGTTAGAAGTGTATTTGTATCATTGTATACTAAGTTATTTAATAATAATTAGTAATTACTTATACACAATATTGGAATATAATATTATATTTTGTAACAAAAAAATGGCACATTGTTGCCTATACAGTACGCCGTGAAACATGGCTATAGTATATTATGGTTTTATATATTTTTTTATTATAACATCAGTATTATATGGCTTTCAAAAATCACATTAAAACTTCATATGAATACTTAATACCATAACATTACTTAAATGTRTATAACGTTTGTGAAATATACACAATTCATATAATATTTATCTACTTAATTATTATTTTGTATGTATTTCAATTATTGCCTTATAAGTCTAAAAGTTACTATTTTTTATTTTACTGAAGCTGGGACAGATATTTTATGTAGGTATCATTTTTATGGCTAGAATTTTATAACTTCTCAATGTTCATTGGTCAACCACCATTTTTGATAACTGATCCATTTTTTTGTCACTGAGGTATCGTGTCACACATAATTGTTTTGTACTCGCTATGATATACGTTTATGAAGGAAACCCAACTCAATTAAAAAAAATTATAATGAATAACCAACAATATAATCAATTAGATATATAAATGAAGACTATAAGTGGATGGAGAGGGTTTAGGGAAAAAACTTTGACGCATTCGTCGATAATAATATATAGTATCATCACTAAGCAAAGAAAACAATCATAAAGTAGGTTAGTGACTAGATTTCGTCAGTCAATCGAGTGGTCAACTTAATTATTTTATCATTCATTGAAACAACTTTTTTTTTAGAAGTTTTTTGTAAAACAAAAAATTTTAATATAAACGATTGTAGTTCAATTCTTGAAAAATTGTGCACCCCAAAACACTTTTGCGGGACAAAAAAATAATGTCACAGCCCCGGAAAAATGTTGACGTTATTTTGGCGTGTGATAGCACTACGCAATAGGTACTTTTACTATTTACTATTTGTTCAAAAGATAAATAATCACATTTTTATAGTAAGTAGGTACTATAGGTGTTCTTCCGTTTTTAAAGTACATTTTAAAATACTTTGAGATCATTAATAAAAAATGTATCTAATTTTTTATGTTTTATGACTGTGAAATTCATACCATGTAGTATAGCAAAGTAGGAAGTCAAATAGTATAGTTATCTTAACAATGATAATTCAATTTAGGCATTAAAAAATAATTTTCTTTTGTCCTTATGCTTTAAACAATTAAATCTAATCGAGTCAGCTAATTTTTCGGTTTTCTATATTAACGCGGCCATTGTCAATAGTATAGATTAWTAGTGCGTGCTATTAAAGTAGGTATATTACAGAAATCAGAAATGTATTATTATATTTTTTCAAGCCGTGATTGTATAAATTTGTATAATAGTATATTGTTACTATAAATTCAGTGGGAAAAAAAAGAATTCTTTGTTATGTACTATAATCGATATATTACATTTGAATGTACAGATAATATTGTGTTTTTGTATATTTTGAAACACRATTCTGAGCGAGATTCGGTTAACGCTATAAATGAACTTACTGTCACTGCTCATTGGMATTTATTTGAAACGTTTCGACAGTGCCGGTTGGAAATATATCTTATCACTTAAATTAAATGACTAGAAAATTTAAATCGATTGTGCAAAGTACTGCAGTTTATACATTCAATTTTCTACTCGAAAAATTCTTATTAGATCTTRRSGAGAACTTAATATCAAAACCTATAGTGTTTATRGTATTAATATTTATCACGATGATAGGTTTACAAGTTCGGTTGCCGTTGTTTCGACGACCACAACGACGACAACGACGACCGGTTCCATTTTGACTCTCACTCATTCTCTCTCGCTCACTCTWTCTCTCTCGCACTCTCTCGGGGRACCGTTGCGACGACGACGACGAGTCGCCCGGACCATGTCTGCACCGGTTACAGTACAGTTTGAGCACGCGACGCGTGCGCACACAATAAATACAACACCGAAACGCCTCCTACTACCAATGATCCACCAAAGTCACGCGATTTTTTTTATTTACCGATTATTAATATTTTTTTTTTATTGACAACGATCGACTACATTCAATATCATATTTTTTACCTGTACGTTGTGCCACATTTTCGATTGGTCAGAGAGGGGTGTTTTTTTTTTTTGTTCACGCGATTCCGTTTCGTTTTGAATATATATCGTTCGGDGCAGTGACTCTCGGAGCCGTAACGGACCAACCGCTGTGCAGTTGCGCGGTCTCCGATAGTAAAATATAATTATAACGTCCGTCCGAGACGCAAGTCGCTTGTTTCTTAATATTATTTATTTATAATAATAAATAAAATTTGCGCGGGCGACGGCAAACTATTGCAATATTATACACACACTAAACCGGTTGTTGACCTCTGGCGAGGGCGCGCGGTGGTAGCGGTGGCGGCGGTGGTAGCACCGTCGACAGCAGACGCGCCGCCGACCGGGTCACATCTTCTCGGACCGCCTCCGCTGCCTTTACCGCTTCCACCGCCCCAGATGTCGTTGGACTCGGTCGCCACCGCCGGGACAGCCACCGACGACGTCCGCCACTACCGGCACCACCACCGTCACCATCATCACCATCACCTTCATCACCACGGCAAGCGTCACAGGCGACCACCACCTCCGCCGTTGTCGTGGATACCGCCGCCCGAGACTTTAGACTCGGCGGCGGTGACCACAAGCGATACATCGGATGTTGCGGCCACCACCGCATACCATCATCCGGTCAAGGTATGTACCTTTATCACATATTGTTATTTGCATTTATTCTGCTCAGATTTACTTCCTMTAGCTGATAATAACAACATTAAATAGGTCTGAATGACATTTTGAGAACGCATCGCACTAAAAAATATTATTGTTGAAAATAATAATCGACATATTTTATGAGTATTATAAATATTGATAGCCCTATGCGAAATCCCTTTCCACCCAGACACCTTTGTACGTTTGCAATCACGAATAATGTAATATCTCCCGAAAGTTATCATTCGAAAGTATTTTATTGATATYGCTACATTATTTTTATTKAAGTATAAATGGTACGTAGAGTCCACCACACATTATTTTATATGCAAGTCATAAGTTAAAGTCATTGACTCCCAAAACCRAAGACTTTAGAAAAAATTGTAAGTTAAAACCGCAATATTATATTCAATTGTGCTGTTCTTCCCAAAAAAGAACATGTAGATATATGAAAACGATACTGAGCGAAAATGGTAGTCGGCCTTCAGTCTACATACTATAGATATTATATATGTATATATATATATATATATATATGTATATAATAGATATAAATAAGTAGTTTAATATATTTTACTGTAAGACATCAGTAATAAAGTACGTTGAACAAATTATTTATTGTTTTAATTAGAATCTAAAATAAATGTTTTAAAAAATATGAATATTGAGTCAATTTTCAGTTTTATTAAATAATATAAATTCACGATACCTTTTGAAAACTGATACGATTCCCGTAATAATTACGAACAAAAAAAAATTATTATTTCACAATATACCATAATATCACATGAATTTTATATCGATACTAGATGATACTCTCCGCTTTATAACACGAAACACACAAGTATGCACCAACTTGTCTATTAACAATCTAATCTAAAAACGCCTT